AGTGTACTTCGGTCCTTCTGCCTGCTCTGCTCCCCGCTCTGGCTCTGGTGAATTCTCTCACCCTCCCGCGCCTCTGACTGTACCCAGTGCTTGTATAAATAAACAAATAAATCAATCTTTAAAAAAAAGAACTGGGGTATAGGCCAGAGGTGGCAGGGAGAGGGGTGAGAGGATTCATCAGAGCCTCAGCAGAGCAGGCTGATCTACTGAATGATACTGTTAAGGGGAGCAGTGGGCAAAATAGGAGAGGTCTGTTGCACCAACTGGATTAGCTCCCTGGCCTGGGCTCAAACTTAGGCCTTTGTGGTGGGAGTGCTAAGACTTAACCCCTAGGCTACCAGGGAAGCCCATAATGAATGGCTTAATTTCTAGCTTGGAAATTCTGAAAGTATAATAATTTTGGCCTATATATATGCTGAAGGAAAATAAACTGGTTATAACTAATAACCTGATACAAAAAATGAAGTAACCTTTTCTTCTATATCTGAAATTCACAGCTACTCACAAATTGAAAAGAACTACAAGTTGAACATGGAATTAAATTCTAATAATTGACATGGAAAAGATCATATCAAGACTTAGGTTTTAAGAGATAAAAATTCAAGATAATGAAGTAAGACTGTGCTGGAAAAATATCTTTCAAAGGGGGCAAATTTTTGCCAGGAAATTCTTGTGTCACATGCCTCTTAATCAGGCAACCGTGACTGATATGTCATGATGATTCATACATGAGGCCATGTTTGTTTGTGTGTATTCATACATGAGGCCATGTCAGTTACAACAAAATTCTGACATTGGAAGGCTGAAGTTTAATATTAACTTAGCAACAAACTATTATATTCTATATCAATTACAGATTTAAGCTACAAAAATACTCAACTATCATAATCAGATACAATCAAGCAGAGGCCAAGAGAGAGGGCCTCCTGGTGGTGACACAAGGGGTTAAATCTCAGCACTGTGAAGTAGTCAGGGAGCTAACCAACATGGTGCAGCAGACCTCTCTATCTCGCCTGCTGCTCCCCTCAGCAGAGTATTTCAGTGGATCCGCCTGTTCTGCTCCCCACTCTGTCTCTGGCGAATCCTCTCAACCCCCACACCTCTGGCCTGCACCCTAGCTCTTGCATGCATAAATAAAATAAATCTTAAAAAAAAAAAGGTGTGTAAAGTTAGTTTGCTAATGGCTTCTAGAAGGAAACAGATCCCTGAAACTTTCGTATTCTCATACCATCTAGGGGAAGAGCTTCTGAACAAACTGGGAATGAATCTTCTATACAGTCATTTTCCATCTGACCTCTAGCTCTGCTTGACTTTTTTTTTTTTTTTTTTTGCAAGATCACAAAGAGTTAATGTTTTGTCACTAGCTGCTTCTGAGAACCAAAGATTGCCCTAAATTTATCCTCCATTCTTTAACTTGTCTTGAAAATGTCCAAGTATCAGGAAGGCCATCTAGATGAAATCACTGCATTCCTGGGGCAATGTTCCTCTTCTCAGAGTTTATAGAAGTACTTGATGATTGCTTTTCTAATATTTAGATTATGGTGCATGTGAGGCCAAGACATGGGATCATACCTGTCCTTCCTTGTTCTCCTCTGAAATGTTTTACTGATCTCAAGGAGGACTAGGCTACGGAGCTGGCATGGAAGGCAGCAATTTTTGTCTGCTTTGCTCACTGATGTACCCCAATACCAGACAGACAGTAGATACTGGGTAAATAAGTATTAGGTAAGTAAGCAGATTAGGTGACTCTCATTCATGGATGGATGGTGTATTTTACTGCATATTATGTTGACTAGTTCAAGCTAATCCCATCTATGCCTACAGAAAAGAAATCCTATGCCCAAGGGAAGTTACTTTATCTAGCCATTATAGTCCTAATCCACCAATAAGGAACAGTGTCAAGGAAACTGATTCACTGGAAAGTAAACTGCTGATTTACAAAGCTTTCTAAAAATTTCTCACCCTGTGAGCTAAAACTTGAAGAAGAGGCAGTGCAAGCTGCGTATTTCTGCAGTATGTCAGTTTCCTGCCCTGCTGATCAGATCTCATCCTGAAATTCCCTCAAACTCGAGACACCTCTCAGCTTTTTGAAGGTATGGAGAACAGTAAGAACTAGACACGGTTAATTAAACAGTTTCCAAGCTTGTCTATTGTATTTCCTGATTTTTTCTGAAGTTCCAACCATGGAAAAAGTACAGGTGGTGTGAGGATGGTGGCACCAATTGACACTAATTCTGTGATGTTTGAGCTCAACCCCAATTATCTCAATGGTCTCCACTGTAGGTATCAGGGAAAGCCAGGACATTCTAGTAATAGACAACAGCCTCTTTGGAGAACAGGAAACTGAAGATATGGACTTGCAGTAACTCATTTTTTAAAACACTCATCAAAGTTTCCTTTCCTTTAGAACATTATGACTCACAATGTTATTTTTTTTAAAGATTTATTTTTATTTATGCATATTAAGAACTGGGGTCTAGGCCAGAGTTGTGGGGGGGTGAGAGGATTCACCAGAGACAGAGTGGGGAGCAGAACAGGCGGATCCACTGAAATACACTGCTGAGGGGAGCAGTGGGCAAAGCAAGAGAGGTCTGCTGTGCCATGTGAGTTAGTTCCCTGGCTGGGGATCAGGATCGAACTCATGTTGCAGTGGCTGCGGATAGCTTCACAGTGCTGAGGTTTAGCCCCTTGCACCACCAGGGAGGCCCTGTACACAATATTTTAGATTAACCACTTGAAAAATTGAGCTAAAAAGTTGAACATGACTAGACATGCTTGCTGAGTAGGAAGGGTATAAATTCTACAGCATGTCTAATTACATCAATGGCATTTTGATCTTCCCAATGGTCATTAAATTATATAAATACACTTTGTAGGAAGGTAAAGGATTTACTTACTGTGCTTCTTCAGAAGACTCCTGTTTTATTTTTAATGTTCTCTTTGTGACAGGTATTTCATCTGGAAAGCAAAGTTTTTGAAACAAATTATATTTTCCTAAGTAGTGACATACATTTATGTGATAAGCAGCTAGCTACATTTACTATTTGTTCCATACTTTCCAATGTGAGACCTTAATTCAAGTGTCAAACACTGTCCAATGCCAGATTTATAAATATAACTCTTATATAATGAGATGCATACATTTATATGCAAGATCAGAAACCAGCTCTACAAGTATAAAATTCTTCAAGGTCACCAGAGGATTTCTAACTAGGAGCTTAAAGCTTAATTTCACTACAAACATGATTTTTAAACAGAACAAGATTGAAAATAATTCTATCCTATTTGGATTTTCTGTGCAGGCTTTATAAAGCAATTATTTCCCCCAGTATCAGGATCAATATATTCTGCACATTATTTTTTCCCCAAAGATGTGGATAACTTAACTCTTTATGGAAAAACCAGAGTTATGGATAGCAAGTAACTTAGACCTTATTACTGTTTTTCAAATTATGAGGCAGCGATCTTTACAGCCTCTATCTTCCAATATTTGAGGGGCTTTTTTTTTTTCTAAAGTAGCATTTATAAGAAAATACATTTAATCCTTTTTCTTTTGAATCAGCATTTGTCCATCAATAGGTATTCTGCAAAATCAGTATCCATGGACCTCTGTCTTATGCCAAAGAAGCACATTTACTGTGCTCATCTTACTGACATGCCCTTGGGGGTTGCCTGAGTAGTTCACTGGGGAGTAAGAACACTTCCTTATAAGTGAGCCCTCATCACACACTTGCTATTAGAGTACAATGAATGCAGCAGAAACTTTACTAGTATTTCCAGAGTATGAGAATCAAAACTGGATCATTTATTGCAAAAAGAGTTTTAAAAAGCACACAAAACCTACATATATCCTCTTAATTAGACCACTAAGTTTAGGCTGGATGGTCAGAAGTTTTATTTAGCATTTTTTTTTCTTTTTTAAAATTTATTTATATATATTTTTACATCATTTTTTTTTTTTCTTTTTTTTTTTTACAGTATTTGCTTTTTTTCTCAGGTGTAGTCTCAACAGAATTTCCACCACCAGTTCACCCATGCACCATCACCACAGTTCCTTGTGGTCCTCCCTCCCTCATTTTCATCCCTTTCCCTTCGCCCTCCCCTGCAGAATGTCTCTGAATTATAGTTGTCCATTTATTTTTGTTATTTTTGTTATTGCTATTATTTTTTCCCCTAATGCCTTATTTCATTCCCCTATATTCCTCCTATAAGTGAAACCACCCGATATTTTTCTATAAATCATTCCAGCTATTGTTGAGATAGGATCTCTTATGAAGTTTGAAAGAGTGTGATCACTGAAAATTTCAAATATCAGCTCTTTTCAAAATAAAAGAGGTTTCTTTTCATATTTTGTTGAGATTAAAGTCTACAAGAGGACATTTTCCAAATTATGAACAGAAAAAGTATTTGGGATAAAGAAAGGAAAAAAAAAGTTACTTCCATAGCATTTGGGATAAGCATCAGTACATGCAGTCATTGGAGAATTAGGAGGCACAGGATATTTAAAATTGCATGGGGTGGTACATGTTACTGAACTTCCTTGTGCAGTACAGAATTAGGAATGCTTCTGTCTTTAAGACAGGTGACTTGCTGGTACCCAAATCACCAAGTGACCAACACTAAGCACCAGCCGGTAGGTGACAGCTAAACCAAGGACACCCACACTGCCCCAAATGGACTGGGTATATGCCTTGTGCTGGCAATGGGAACGGTACCAAAAGATGTTACGGATATTAAGTACCAGTGCACACATGAACATACACACACCACATATATTGACTTACCCAATTCCTGATCTGTTGGATAGCCATGGAGATCCTGACTGTGGTTTCCCCAGTCCTCCTGTGAATACTCCTCCATAGTGCTGCCATCTGACTCCAGCTCCTGGTACAAGCCACTACTGTTAATAAGTACAGGCTGGCAGGGCTGAGCATCCCATCCTCCCTGACCAAACACCTGTTCCAACTGTTCAAATGTGTAACTGCTCTTTCTTTTCCCAACACCATGTTCTTTCACCCGACTGTAACACCTGCGAAGGGTCTAAGACACAAAGTCTTTTGTTATTCCTTTAAAGCTGTACTTCCTCTTCCAGGTACGGACCACAGATATTAATTACTATTAGACAGACACAGACAGACAAACACAGACACATTGTTACAAGAATACTAGAGTTCAAATTCATTATTATATTAGAAAAAAATTACTAATTTAGCATTTACTTAAACATGTTATAATTCAAACAATTATTTTGCAATTAATTATCCATTAAACAACAAGAAACATTACAACATTATTGCATGTACCCCATACACATTTTAATACCCCCACCCCCATTTAAAATGAATAAGAAAAAAAAAAAAAAAAAAACAAGAAATACCAGCCAGCCAATAGGATGCACACCTGCCACAGAAGAGAAAGAGCTGCTATTTGTGCCCAGAATTTGGAAAAAGTGAGGGAAGGGAGGACAGAAGAAGAATTTCCCAAAGCAAAGAATATAACCTTCCTTACTCGTGATTAAGAAGGAGGACTGGGTAAAAACAATAGCCTAAATGAATTAGCTAGTAAAACACATTACTTACATAGCCTGTATTCCTCACTAACTTTGGGGAAGCTGCCAAAATTTAAGAGGTCAAATCAATAACGCTTCCCAGTCTCAAACATCAATTATCAAGAAACAACACACTCATATCTACTGCTAGAAACCAGCTAATGATACTGGTCTATTCCATCAACTCAAATTGCCAGCTAAACAAAGCCAAGAATCCCTTTGGGGGCGGAGGAGAGTGAAGTGGAGGGGTGTCATTTCACTTCTTTTTCTGTCTTGTAGCACAAAGCAAGTAAACATCATAGAAGTCCACAGATGAAACCTAAATAATTTTATCACCCTACACAACACTTAAATTTTTTCCTACTTTTCTAACATATTTTTGATTATTGGCCCAGTTTCTTGTGTTTAGTGGTACATTTTATGCCATCTCACATTATATTTCAAAAGATTAAGCAAGGACTTAGTCCTAATTTCCAAATTTAGTTTGGTTACATTCAGTCTCTATGCCTCCCTTTTGTTCTTTATAATCTCCCTTCTGTTTCACTGGTATCATTCTGAAAATCTTCTTGAGACAAGACCCTTTCCCTGGTGGCTCCCAAACACTTCTTAACTCAATTGTGCAAAACCAGTTCACCTCAGACTTATTTTATACACATTATCCAAGTTAAAAATTTCCCCTAAAAATTTCACCTATTCTCACCAGACTAAAACAAGTCTTAATAATCTTTATAGTGCCTCCATGAAAGTTCACTGTCATTAAATCACAGATAACTATGATGCCAGAATCCAGATGGGCAAGAGGAATAACAAAAGCAGGACTCACAGGATGAACTCCTTAGACCTAACAGCGCAGTGATTAGTCACCCCACCCTAAAACCAGCCAGCCTATCCCTGCACAAGCACCTGCCTCCTTCTCCCTTGCTTGAGATCTCTTTTGGGGTCTTAAATGATGCCTTAAAGAACCGGGTTTCAGATAATACACTCTTTAAAAGTGCTCCTTCTTTCTTTTTTTTAAAGCATAGTCACAACTACGTAACACAAAACTTCCTAGAACAAATCAGGAAGGAACTTGGGAAATGTGTCATGGACAGCCCTCCCAATGGAAAGAGACAAATGCCTGCAGCATATCTCATTTGACTTTCTACATATTCCTCTTTCCCAGTGCCCTCTGCCCTCCTTGCAGGGATTGGAATTTGAATTACAAACATCTCCTGCCAATTTATTTTTATCTCACAATGTCAAATTTCTGCCTCCAAGAACACCCCAACCATTCTTTTCAACTCCTCCAAGGACCGTAAATGGAGAGTCCCGGCCATGTGCCCTTCACCCTTCCAAGGCCATAAATGGAGATGGAAACCAAGCCACTGACTGCCCACTGCTTACTGGCTGCCCAGTGGAAAGCACCCAACATTCAACAGAGCCTGGTCGGATCTGTTCCCGAGTGTCCCTCTGTCACCAAGGGTTATTTCAGAAGTCAAGGAATAAAACTAACGTTCCTTTGAAGAAACGTCCACACTTCTCAGGATGTGAAACAGGCATAAGCAAAACCACCTATCTTTGACAAATATACATGGTGGGAAACTATAGAAGACTTCAACTTCCTCTGAAACCATCAAATTGAGCTAAAATTTCAGTTGGCTTACAGAACTGTAAGTAAGGAAACTTACTAGATAGCATTATCTGATGGTTTTATAGTTCACCAAAACAGATTAATAGATCTTCCCACCTCTTTGTAGTGTGCCTTTGTAAATATAATACACTTTAATAGTGTAATTTGCTGATCTGTAATACATCTTAGGGATTTGGAGGAAAAATCTTTAGTAACTTCTAAATCCGTATGATAGGAATTTGATGTATTGAAATGTTAAAAATTTTTCCTAATTGATTTTAATTCTCTCAAGACAGAAATACATATATTAATGGTAACTTTTGGATTCAGTAAAAACCCAAGATTCAAGGAGAGGTGTTTTAAATAAGACTTATCAACTACGGGAGGAGAAAATGTTAGAACTCAACTATCAGCTCAAATGCTACTCTAAGAAACAGTGAAATTTAAACAAGAAGAAGTTTAGAAATGGAGAAAACAGAAATAGAGAATTTTTGAGTCTAATCACTTACAGTAAATCACTTACAGTAAATCAGAAAAGTTTACACTTTCCACACACTAAATGATTAATCAAAGCATATAATCAAGAGAATGTGTCTGTGTCAACAGTACTAAATAGATCCTTTAAAACCTATTCTAATCTGAGATTAAGATAATGCTCCAGAATCTAGGAAAAATGAAGTCTCACCTTCTATTTTAGACAGCTATATCAAAACCAACAAGAACTTCAGTTTAGCTTCCTTGGAGAACTATTTCCTAATCAATACAAAACCAAGTACTTCCCTTACTTCTTCCTTTACTTCACTCATCTTAAAAATTCATAGTAACTTGAATTTTAGTTGATTTTTTCTTTTTTTTTTTTTTGGTTTAAATGAAGATCTTGGGATGGGCGAAGAACTTGCTTAAAATTATTAAGATTATTCTATTCACAACTAAGAACAATAATGTTTTTCTTATTGTTAGGAATGTCCATGGTAAATCAATATCACAGCCTCCTCCTTGGGGGAAGAGCTGAGACAATACTGTATCTTGAGTCAAATTATAGGAACAGAGGTCAAAAGTCAAGAAATCTGGACAGAGGAACTGAAGTACAGCCCCGGTTGCCTAATGGGAGGAGTTCATAGGTATTCGACTGGGAAGAAATGCCAGGTGAATGTTTACTAAATCCACCATGCCAAGCGACTACAAAAGGAAAAGAACCAGAAAAAAAGACTTGAAAGACGCCCCATTACAAAAGCAGGAAGAAAAATAAGATGGCTGACAACTGACAATTTAAAGGACAGAGGGCAAGCTTTGCCAAAGTTTAAGAACAGAGTGAAAGGAAATGAGAGAATAAAAAGATGACATTCATTGTGGATGAATGTAAGGGGAGTCTACGGGGGAGAGGGGACAGGGTAAACAAAGGCAGGAGTTTTAGATCGGCAGGATTGGGGGTTTAACGGCAGCAATGCAGAGAAAGACCCAGGGTTACAGTACACGTAACATTAAATACAGTGCACAATGCAGCTATCTTGCCCAAGTAAGTAAATCCAGTATTGGGTTGTATAAGCAGAGGAATCACATGTAAGCTATGGAGGTGGCTCTTCCTCTCTATTCAGCACCGGTGAGGCCACAGCTGGAGCACAGCATTCAGTTCTGGGCATCGAACCAGCTACAAGAGAGGGAAATTGTAGAGTTCAGAAAAGGGCAAATAAAATAATGAAAGGCTTGGAAAATAAGATCTATAAGTAGGGACAGTGGTTCATCAAAGCCCTTCCTGACATTGTATAAGCTTTTAGGGTAAAAAGGTTTCTTTTGCTTCAGTGTCCTCAATCCCTCCTTTTGACTTTCAGGAAGTAGGAAGAATCTGGTTCTTCCCTGGTATGGCAAAGTAGGAAGGTACATGAAATAAAGCATACAGGAACATGCTAACCAATTCTGCTACTGGCTTAGTCATTTTCTCAAAATTTGCCCCACATCATGCAGTCATAAAATAATCACCATGACAAAATCACTGTTCTAGGTGTTCTAACAGAACTGACTACAAGTGGGACAGGGTCTGCCACAAAGAGGAGTATATGGAGTATATGAGGCATAATGGCTATATAAATGTGAGGTTTAGAATCATTGGCATGATCAGTTGGAAATGTCAGATGAAAAATAAAGTCAAACTACAGGGAGGACAGCTTAGTTGTCATAGGAGGAAACAGTGGGATAAGAAAAAAGTGGGGAAACAGATTTTCAAATGCAGTTGTCAAACTGGTGGCCATTGTGTGGTTTCCTTATCCCCTGCCAACTAAAAGTGATACATTTTAGATTCAAATAATTAAAGAATACACTTATTTGCACAGTCTTAAAAAATCACATATTGTGTTCCACAACAGGTAGGGGAACTATACTGGGAGTAATCTCCAGTTACTGTTTACAAAAATGTTAAGCACAGTAGTCAGTCTAAAGTAGGTGTATGTTTTGAAGCACCAAAAAAAAAAAAAAAAAAGTGAAACAGAGCTATCTTTTTCTTTAAAGTCACTGCTTCATTGTATCTCTTGGTTATCTGAGGCAACAAAACAAGAGTTTATTCCAGTGTCTTTTATAAAAAATTCAACTTTTCTTTAACTTGTTGTATTTCTTACTGTGAGCACAAAGGAGAGGGAAAAACCCTGAAATAGCAGACATGACTAAATGGACACATTTCTGGACACAGTAAGTGGGATGCAAAGAATAAATTACTGTATCTCTCTCTTAACAAAGGTGCAGATGATGATTAGGAAATCACCCAGGGCAGAACCAATCTGGAGCCAGCAGAACTGTACCTATTTTCTTAGGTTTTCTGTACATTAAAACCTGGTAAACTGATTTGCCAATCACCTAAAAATCCCTTTAAACTAACTAAAAACAAAAACCCCAACACAACAAACCAAAAATACACTGCTTGTTTCACACTCCCCCAGATTTTAGTGCCACAGAGGAAATTTTGGCAAGTCAAAGATGGTTTTATGCTTCAATTTTCTTTATCGTCTCCAGAGCTGAGGTTCTTAACTTTGTTGGGTCAGGGCTCCCCTCTCAAAAAAAGAAAAAAAAAAAAAAATACACATACATAACTGTTTCGTACAATTTCAAAAGGGACATGGACTCTCCGGAGAGCCGGCACAAGAACCTTAGGTTAAAAAACTCCTCTACACCATGCGGTGCTTCCTCCATGAAAGACTGGAACAGGTATGAGTCAGAAAGCCTAAAATAAGGTAGACTGCATTCATGTCTTAGGTTTTATAAAAGTTTCTAAAAGTCTGGGCCCACCAGTTTCATTATAATTTAACCAGTTGCTCAGTATCATGTTCATTTAGATAAAGCACCATTAATGGTTCCTTTAAAAGGCAAATTAGCTAAATTCTCCTTTTTCTTAAAAGAAATAATTTCTATATAAAAGCATACAAGGATATCAGTTTACTCTTCACAAAAAAGTGACACCTTTCCCCAACCTGCTGGGCAAGAAAATCTTTTTCTGAAGTAGCAATTAAGCAATATTAAATGATGCATTAGGCATGCTGATCCCAATTGTATCGCATCTCACTCCAAGATTCATTAGCTGATTGACTTAAGAGAGGCTGGCTAAATTATCTAAGGTAACATCTCAGAATAGGAAAATTCACACATTTAAATTAGAAAAAAAGTACAGGAAAGTAAATCTAGGTTTCTTTTCTTAGTGGTTGCAAAAGCTGGGCTTTAACATCTTCCTATTTTAACGCTGCCTAAGGACCAAAGGGTCTCAAAGATAGGCAGGGTCACACTGATTCAGTCCTTAACACAATGGGATCAAAGTCTGATCTTGTATTCCACCAAAACTATTCATATTATGGTTAACAATGTCTTCTTAATTTCTAAGAAATGTCCTCAAACTTTGTCCTTAACTTCCTTATTTTCCTGTAGCACCTCATACTCTTCATTACCTATGCAAGTAGCTTCTCTTTTATGACACTTTCTAAATAATACACTAATTTATTGGGGTAAGTGGAGCTGTCCAAGGCGCTCATGGCAAACCTGTCTTCAACTTCTCTAACATGCGGAAATCTGAGTGGAAAAGAACCTTAGAAAGCATTGGTCCAACTTCCTCAGTTAACAAATGAGGAACCGAGGCCCCAAGGTAATTATTCCTTTAAAGAGGGATTTGGCACATAAAAATTACCAAATGCTTCTTACAAAATGTTCTTTCCTAAGAAAGCTATTCCACTAGATTGTAAACTCCATGAAGAAGGGGTTATGTCTGCCTTGTTAGATGTTCCCAGGCCTGGAACAGTGCCTATCGCATAAGGTCTGTCATTATGTGTATTAAATAAATAAATTAATGGTTGCATTTTCAAAGTTGTAAATCACTAGCAAGACAGACTATTCCTTAGGAAATCAGGAAAGTCATATTTTACTACAACAATGGATTATAATTATAAAATCAGTAAATCTAAGGTAGGTAGGACTCCTAAAATCTTTTGTGGAATACAGAAGCAGGAAAGGATCTAAAACATAAATACAGCTGTAATTAGCATAGCAAACTAATTCCTTTGTAATAAAAAGAGGGCTACCTACAGAGAGCAAGACTACTTAAAAAACATCTACCATTCTTGCTTTTTCAGTTTGCTTTGTCTGGAGGAAGGAGTCATCTGCCTAATGAAGATTGGTAGTCCTGTTCCAATCTGGTCTTTTTTATGCCTTACAAATTAAATGAATAAATGAATGAATGAATATTTTAGAATGTAAAGTAGCACTGTCAAAGACAGACAAGGAAAATGACTCAATTGTTTCCTGGATTTTTTAACAGGGTCAAACAGAAGAATGACCACCAGAAACCAAGAGATCTTACCTCTCTGAAGCCTCAGTCTTTGTGGGGAATTGTCCAGGATTGAATTCTATCAGCTTGCACTTCATTCCGAAATCTGGCTATCAACGACTCACTTTCGTGTCTATGACTGGTGTCAGTACTGTCTTCATGAGGGAGAAACTCTTTCACAGAACAAATAATCCAGGAAATTTTGATTCTCAATGAGTATTAGCTCCTAAATGTTTTAGGTTCCTCCATGCTAGTAGCTGAGGGTCTTGCCCAGTCAGATTATGAAGAAAAAAGCCTCCAGGAGGACAATTCTAATTATCAAAACCAAATATCTTCCATTGCTCACAAGACCATATTCATTTGACTGTAAAGCTTTTAACCCTATACTTTATCTCATATTGACAGCAACACCATAAAAGCCATACCTAGTAAGCATGGCCATGCTTAAGGACTTCTTTGAGATGTAAGAATCCTTCTAGACACGGAATCCTCAAATGCTTCTCTATTTAGAACAAGACAGGTAAAAAAAATTAATGTATACTGAACTACTCATTTCAGACATAAGCAGTATAAGCAGTTACAGTCACAAATGATAGGCAGATACTACTTCCTCCCCACCTAAAGGGGGGCAAAAATCAGCTGTTAGTGAAGAACTGATGGATTAGTTATTTTCATCCTACTTCATACATCACCTCTGAGGTTGTTAGGTAAGCATTTCTGTTGAATCTTTTTTCAGTATTTCACACCCTGAGCACCATCTCAAAATGGCATTCAAGAATATTAAAAATGTTAACCTTTATTAATAAGTGACAACTAAAAAAGCACAAGAGAATGATCTAAAAAATGTTTCTGATATAGAAGGGGTGAATCACTCATTTTTAAAGGTCTCCCATACAAACACCCTGAATTATACAGTAATTGTTCCATGATCAACCACATCTAAAATTAAGAATTCGCATACACCAAACCCCTCACACAGCTTCATCCTTACCATCCTGCATTGCTTCCCAAACACAAAGGCACTTTCTTCTATTTATGAGATTTGAGTTGAAGAGGGAAACTGCAAAAGCAGGTTCCCCCCTCCACATACACCCAAAATAGTAAGGTTATGCCTTTCATGTTGACCACATGATTTTCCATTTTGTAGCTATCTTCTTACTAACAGTTACCACCTATAATGCAAAGGTAACTTAAAATACAGTAAAATTAGTACATTTGATGTATCTTGGTTGTAAAAAAAAAAAAAAAAAAAACACCCTGAATTTGGATAATCTATTCTGGGTACAAATGTTAAGATTCACTCGTTCCCCTCCCCCCCCCAAAAAAAGGGTAAATACTGGGGTATGGCGCAAGGGGTTAAGCACCGCACTATGAAGCAATCCGCAGCCTCTGCAGCACTTTGAGTGGGATCCCCGACCTTCCAGCAGCAACCCACATGGCAAAGCAGAGCACTCTTGTCTCGCCTGCTGCTCCCCTCAGCAGTGTATTTCAATCAGTCTGCCTGCTCCGTTCCCTGCCCTGTCTCTGGTGAATCCTCTCACCCCACCCCCACCCGCATCTCTGGCCTGTACCCCAGCTCTTGGATGCATAAATAAATCTTTTAAAAAAAGTTTTTTTTAAAAAAAGGTAAATACTGAATTACTTCAGAAACTTTTTTTTTTTTTGCATTTACATTGCATAAACTACAAGTCATGCATACAAGACAAGAATGCGCCCTTCTATCCTCACACACCCTTTCCATGAAAAACTTTAAATAAACATGTTGTAACTTTAAGCATCTGCTCTTGGGCAACCTGAATTTGAGAAGTTAGAAATAAATTCAGGCAATCATTTTTTATAGCTCACCCAGCAAT